CGTCGTAGGCATGCCTGGTATTCCAGCCCGTGGCTGTTTGGGCCAGGTATGAGTATTTGTGCTTATGAGCCGGTTAGTATATGTATGTGGTTCGGGAACTAAAGGATCATAGTTGGCAGTGTGGGATTTGTGATTTTGTTTTCTAGTGGGAACCTCAGGTTATCAGAAGTTGAGTAGCCAGTTGGGAGTTAAGTGCAATGTATTCGACAATGACCCAGTGTGGGCAGTCTGTCAGGGAGCCAAACCATCTCGGGACTTCATATTACGGACTGAGTGAATGTGATCATATTGAAAGGGATTCGTTTATTTTTAGGTTTTAGAACCCTGCGAGGGTTGGTTGCGGGTGTCGTGGAAAGGCTAGGGTTATGCTCGGGATTGTAGTCCAAGTTGTTTGGCGTGTAAGGAATGAGGAGAAACGATTTCGAGGACGAAATCAAATTTAAGTGGGGGAGAATTGTAACATCCCATTTAAAATAGAATAATTAAATAATAAATCGGAACCTCGAGAAGTAAATATTATTATTATTTTATATTAATATTGTCTAAAATTAAATAATAATTAGCGGGGTGTTGGTTTCGGGAAGCCAAATGTCGTGATTTAAAGTCTCGGGGGTTAAAATGTAATTTATGGATTAGTTTTGCAAGAGATTCTCAAAGTTGAGGGCTGTTTGGTAAGTTTTGGACCAGAATTGGGATGGAATTTATTGTTGAGGGTTAAAAGGGTAAATTATGGTCTCATATTGGAAGAAATTGTTAGGAGGGGGCTGGAAACGTAAATATGGGGGAAATGTATGTGACAGGGTATATAACCCGTCACCATGCTCTTAACCCTAACCCTAGGTGAAGGCAACAGCCGCCAACCCCTAAGTACCGGCCGTCACTCCTTCTTCTTCGACTTCCGACGCCGCTACTTTCCTCCGTCGAGTCGCACACCACCCCGGTTGAGACCCCTAACCACCGGAGCAACCCTCTCGTGCTCACCCTGACGCCGGGAAGACGAAGCTGTTCGTCTAACCGCCGCCTTTGCTCGTTAGGCTGCCTTTCAGTCTTCATCGCTGCCATGGAAGCCCTCCGCCGCCGCCTAGAGTGTAACAAACACTCGGGAACCACCAGCCGAGTCCGGTCCCACTATAGCCGGCCGATAGCGCCGCTGCGGCCACTGCCTTGTGTCGCCGATAGCCGCTGTTATTGCTCGTTTTATTTGCCGCCTGCCTCCCAAAGCGGCTGAGCTAGTTGTGTTCTCGGTACTCCATCCCGTATGGCGCTTTTAGATGTGTGATGATGGAACTGAGAAGTCGGGTGCTTGTGATACTAGCTGGAGATCGAGGAAGAACCACCATGGCCGCCAGCCATGGTGGCCGCCACCACTGCCATCCCAAAGTCGCTGCAATCTCCGCCTTGAGCCACCGGGTGGGTGGCTGGAGAGTATTATGAAATTTGAAGTATGTGTGTGTATTATGTATAGCCGGAAATTCGAGGATAACCACCGCCACCACCGTGAGGTGGTGGCTGCCGCCATCTACCACCGCCAGCCACCACAAGGTGGTTGTGTGTGTGTGCGGGGGTGTTAGTTTAGTGGGTGTGTTATTTGAGTTTTGTGTTGTATGATGTAATCGTTAAAGGATAATGGAAAGAAAACCCTAACCACCACCGTAGGGTGGTGGCCGCCGCCACCGGCCGTTGTGTCGGGTGGCGGTGTGCTTCGCATTGGTGTGTTTGATTCGTATGGGATGCATGAAACCCTAGTGGGCCCAGTGAAGCCCTAATGGGCCCAAAAGAACCATACTTGACCTAATAAAACCCTAATTTAGGTAATTAACCGGGACACGCGGGAATTATTTAATAACTTGAGATATTAAATAATAATCATTGGAAAATTAATCTAAGGCAATAATGGACTTAATGGATTAAGTCCTTAATGGGTTAAGTAAGAAACACTTAAACCTAATCATCATTTCATGTGAAAACCCTAATTTTGGGATTATGGGCTTGGACTTATCGGGACCCACTTTTGGGCGATTGGAAAGGAATTGTGTATTAAGCCCAATCACACCATATGACTTATTTAGTAAAGTGAGGCATTTAATGGATTAAGTCCTTAATGGGTTAAGTGAGAAACACTTAACCCTAGTTGTCATTTTATGTGAAACCCTAATTTCACTTGGGCCTTGAGTTGGGCCTTCCTATAGGGTTTTGGTGGTTAGACTATTGATGGACCATCCAAGAACAAGTTAATGGACCAAAGTAATTAGATGGGCTTTAGGATAAGGCCCATGTGAGGACTTGGGCCCAATTTGAAAGATTGGGCCATATGTTGGGCCTTGGCCCATTACTTGACTTTTGGGCTTTTGGAGTGTGAGTTGGACTTTGAGCTTGGAACCCAATTATTAATTAGGTATTGTTTGATGTTGACAGTTCGGGAATCTGTCAATCAGCAGCTGGAGCGTACCTGCGGGACTTCAGCAGTGTCAGGTGAGTTCTCCTCACTATATCAACAGGGTCTAAGGCACCAAGGCCGGCCCTTTATGGATTGTATTCGGATTATTGCATGTTATGCTTACTGATTTATATCCTGGTAGTTAGGATGGTGATATGCTATGCTTTAGTGATCCGGTTAGGTCTGTATCCCGGTTATTGGGATGTTGCTATGATTGGTGATCTATTAGATCAGTTTGACTGTTATATGAAATGAGCTAGCGTATGATATTTATGTGCACATGTTTGTTTGATTGAGGGAAAGGTTGAGGCGGTCCTGCTTTGTGCTGTAGGCCAACATACCCGACGAGCGGTCCGGATAGGCTGTAGGCCCTGCGTGGCGGTCCAGACGTGTCGAAGGCTCGAAGAGCAGTCCAGATAGACTGAAGGCCTGTGAGGCGGTCCAGTCAGGCTGATGACTCATTATGCATGCTGTTCTGTATTGGTTATATGATATGGTTATGTTTGTATGGCGTTGGTATTTTGGGGAAACTCACTAAGCTTCGGGCTTACAGTTGTTGATTTTGTTTCAGGCACTTCGAATGATTGCGGGAAGGCGAAGACGTGATCGTGCACCTCCTCATATTTTCATGATTGATTCTGGGAATACTCTGATGTCTAAACTATTTTGAAAACAACCTGTAATAACTTAATGGTTTTAAAATGTGTTAAAAAGTTTAAATTTGGCTTGAATTTTATGGGTGTTACAATTGAAACAAACAATATTTAGATATAATGTAATTTTCCCAATTATAATTATGATGGTTGTGTTGCTTTGATCGCTATTATTCAATATGTTGTGATACTGTTCATGAAATCATCCACCCCCAGACGTTTCCGCCATTCTGGTTTGGGGGTGTGACATAGGCCGAGGGTGGACGACTCTTTGAGTCGTAGAAAAGTTTTCAAACGAAGAAGCAAGGCCTCGTAAAAACTAGTTTCACTTATCACTATCACTGACACGATGGCCAATATCACTTAATTGGTCGCATATAGCTTTGAACTTGCATCAAAATTCAGCAACTGTAGAGGTACCCTTGTTTAATTGTCGAAGAAGCTCTTGAAGGGTTTGCATGCGTTCTTGAGAATCATGACAATACACACACTCAAGAGTTGTCCAAATATCTCTGGCGGTTTGGAGACCTATAGTCTCAGAGATAGCTTCCTTAGACAAAGAAGATTGTAAAATGAGGAAAGCTTTTTGATCAGCTTCTTTCCACGTAGAGAAGACAGGATTGAAGATTTGCCCTTTGATTCGATGATTGTAGTAGGAATAAGAAGGGTACCATCAACATGATCAATCAACTTCTGAAAAGAAAGAAATGGTGATTCCTAATTACGCCTCTGATATAGAGATGATTGACAGGTGTAGAAGAAAAGGTTCGGGCGGGGATTTTTAGGGTTGGACCGTAATTTTGGCTGATACCATATAAGAGTATTTTCCCTTAAATAGGCATCTTGTATATTGACCAATATATATAGTACAAAGATACAACTTTTAAGGAAACAAACGAGCCTCACATATAGAGATACAAGAAATCTTTTCTAATTATCCTAAATTATCTCTAATACGATGAAATCAAATATGAAGGGAGATGTTCTATATATGAAGACGAATGTTCTAGATCTGACCGGATTTAGACAGATCTGGACTAGGAACACCACCGGAAATGAGAATAAACCACCAGAATCCTTAGATCTGTTGGAAGTCGTCGGAGAAGGACGTAACAACGATGACCATGAGTTTAGCCAGTAGCAGGAGGCAACAACATGGCGGAGATGGTAGGTGGCAGTGGTAGATAGTCGTCGAAGGTTGGTGGCAGCTGGGATGTATAGTCGTTGGAGTTAGGTGATGGATGTAGAAAAATGAAGTGTTTGAAAGTAGAGAGATTTTGAAAACTTATTTGATCTTTTATATATATATATATATATATATATATATATATATATATATATATATATATATATATATATATATATATATGTTCATTTCGACCATGCTAATTTTGTGAGACATTGGGACACGATCCTAGCCACTCATCTTGGAGATCAAAAAGTGAAAAACAAAAATTGTAAAATGCAAAATAAAATGAAAAATCCAAAAATGTTTTTTTTTAAATATTATTTCCGGCATTTAATTTATCCAAAAAAATAAAATAATAATAAAAATAATAAAAAATTATTGTTTTTTATTTAAAATATACGTGAAATATTTTAATAAAATATTACACTATAAACATTTAAATCAAATTTCTATAATGTTAGAATATTATAATACTCTATTAAGATTGTTAGATATGTTAAAATATTTTCCCTATTTTCTAAATTTTCTAAAATTAACTCGGACTGTTTCTTATATTGTAAAAAATTGCACGTTTCATCCCTTATAGACATAAAATCATTGCCCTTTTCTATTTCTTTTTCATTTATTATTTATATTTCTGAATATTTTTAATTATTAAAAAATATTTTAATAAAATTGTGGGTCCCACGTTGCTTATATTTACATTTTCCTTACTTTCCCTCTATCCAATATTATCTTTCTCTACCTCCATTTTTTCCGGCAACCCCAACATTTCCAATTTTCCGACGAATCCAACATGTCCATTGTTTCCGGCCACTCCAACACATCCACCAAGGTCAGAACTTCTACCACCATCCCAATCATCACCTATCACTTCCGACCACCCTTTTTTCCATGAAGACCCAAATTGAAAAAACTCTACATCAAATGTAATCACTGTCACCCCCACTTCTGTTGGACTTGTGACACTCAGTAGTTTATAGAGAAAATACAGACATCCTCCATCTCCCCTCGAACCCCTAAATCTGATGTAGTGGTCATATAGATCTGAAACAACATCGATAATCGGAACCATAGATCTGGAAACACGAACCGAAGATCTGGAAACACAACTGGTTCGTAAAACTTTTATCGGAGGAGACAATGGTTCCAATTGGTAGATGAGGTTTAGTAGGTGGTGGCGGTCAGGTGATTATGATGGTTGCCAGGAGTGGGTGAGAGAGAGTTACATCCGGAGTGCAGATACGTTTTTATGGCACCACCACCAACAACAACCAAAAAACATCGAAACGTAGATCTATAAACTCTCGATGGTGTGGCGATGGTAGCGTATGCAGCAATTGTCGAACGGAGAAGTGAGACCTTGCAACAATGTGCAGGTGGAGACGACGACGAAGATGCGACGACGGTGGTTGCTCCGGTGACCGATCTTGATGATGTACTGAAGAAGATAAATTGAAGGGTTGAAGGGTGTGGGTGGGTTTGGGTAAAGGATAAGTGTTTGTGGTGGTGGGCCCATTTTTATTTTTACCTAATTTTTATTTTTCTTTTGAATTATTAATAAAAAACAAATCAAAAAAGAAAAAAAAAAGAAGGTAAAATAGTCATTTTATCTTCGTAAGGGACAGTCCGAGTAAGAAAAAAACATTACAGGGATGGTCGGAGTTAAGTTTTAAAAATAGAGACTAAACGTGCAATTTTACACTTGAACGAGGGACGAATCATGTAATTTACTCTTTAATATTCTACTATAATTGTTAGATTTGTTAAATATTCTAAAATTCTATTAGAATTTTTTGAATATTTATAGTTTAATATTATAAAATTTTAATTTGAATATTTACAATATAATATTATATTATAATATTTCACGTATATTTTGAAAAAAACATTAATTATTTTATTTTATTTTTAATTTATTTTTTTGGATAATCTAAATGACAAAAATAATATTTAAAAAAAAATTCAAAATTTTTTATTTATTTTGCATTTTAAAAATATTTTTTTATCTCCAAAATAGATGGCTAAGATTGTGTTCCCATTGCTCACAAAATATGATGGTGTCACATGAATATATATATATATATATATATATATATAATATATATATATATATATATATATATATATATATATACTAGCCGTTTACCCGCGCAAAGCGACGGGTACGAATAGTTTTTTCAGTATTTAGTTTCTAAAGACAATTAGTTTTTTGCGCAAATAATTACTAAATCTAAACTAATTAAGGGCATCATCTCATCTCCTTAGTTATTGGTACCATTAACATATAATATATAAAACAAAATAAACAATGATCTAAATATTGTGTATGTATTAAAATATAGTAGGATATTAGTCAAGACAACTATATATGAACATTGTCCGGACAAAATGCCAAATAATGATTCTAAACATTAGATAGCATATTTTCTTTTATAGATAATGTTTAATATATAGCTTATGTCCTTATTAGAAAATTTCTGTATTTAAAGAATGTGTTTGGTTTGAAGATCCAAAGTTTTATTCTATATTATGTAACACAACAATATTTTTAAATTTTTTTTTTCTTCTCAAATTTTTAGGTGCTTACAGCCGTTGGACACCACCAATAATTTTTTTTTAAAAATTATTTTAATGATATAAAATAAAAGTTAAAAAATATTTATTAACTTAAATTAACTGTTTTTGATAAGTTGATTTTTTTAACTTATTTAAAAGTATTTATAATATGTGAAATGGATTTTACCTTTTTTCCCCTATATGCAAAAGATGTAGATTAAACCAATTTCATTCCTTAACAATATGACGTTAAACCAATTACCTTCCCCTGCTAATTTCAAAATCAAAGATTTCTTTTGGAATCTTCCTAACCACTCTAACATCAATGTCGAGCTTAAATAAACATATATAAAAAGAAAATCAAGTTTCCTAACATAAAAGCACCAACTTCCATTTTGTGGTAAATAAAAGATGTGTTGAAAATCACACAATGTGGATGATTAATGTGCGTCGTAAGGTTGTACAATACAAGAGATATTGTGCTTCATAACTTGGAAACCTCTTGATACTCTATATACAATCCACATTAATTGTTGCGTTGCTGGAGATAAAATCAACAACACTGAAATTAAAAATAAATACTTAGTTAGAAGAAAATTAGAGATATTCATGTTTCTAGATTCCTATTTCTTGATTGTCTAAAGAACACACTTAGTAAAGTTGAGGTAAAGCTTCGAGGAACTAAAATAAGCCTATAATATGAATTATAAAATGAACTTATTAAACCATTTTTTGCCATTGTTGTCTTCACATAAATAAATGCAAAGTTTTCGTAAATATAAATGCAAATATATCTAATTAGTTAAACTATATTAGATATATACACATAAAAACTCACACATAGCAGCAACAACACATACAATCTCCACACATAGCTAAAATATATCCAAGTAGTTACTTTATTCATGTGGGTTGCAGGAATAGCAATTTACTTGATACCTTCAACTATTGGTATGTATAATCTGAGATGTCCCTGTAAAGGGTAGTTAGGTAGGGGCGACACCAAGGAAGATTTTGCATTCGCCCATAACAGGTGAAGTTTGGGGCAGGGGTAAAAACGTCCAAAAGAGAGGATAACTAACAAACTTAGGTGAATAGTGTTCCAAAACTAAACATAACATTGAAGATTGTACATTAACATTTTTTTTAACACTCAGTAGATGCAGTGAGCAGTGAAACGTTGTTGCAAATTACCCACATATAGCAAGGGTAAATTCGTCCATCTTGCCCCTTAACGACCAGACCATGAAGACAGAAACCGGATTGTCAATCCTTGCACCTTTTAAACGGTTGGAACTATTCCAATGCTCATGGTAGTACCTGAAAGGGGAAAATTAAAAAATTTAAACTTGAGGTCAAGATTTTGTTGCAAAATTTGGTGATTTCCTCATTAGAAATATTCTACAAATATTAGAAAATCTTTCACAAAAATTCAATTACTCGTTATATGATTATAGTTATCTAATTGAAAAGTATTCCCAAATATACTGAAAAATAAAAACACAAGGGAGTGATGATGCCATCACCTTACCGAAACCTTCATAAATCAAAAGGGCAAATAGGTAAATGGTCTTACATTCTATTTTGTTCCTTCAATCGGTCTCTTTCACCTGCCATTTCCACAACACAAAGAAAGATTTAAATCAACATAATGATTTTATTATACCCAGGACAAAATATAGAAAACTAAAACATATCTTCACCGTTTTATCTTTAAAAGAATACCTTGATAAAACTATAATATGAAGTCGAACGCTATACAGGGGCACACTGAAACTTTCGATAAAATCCCAATATTTAATGATCTCATAACCCTCTGTTTCACTTGAAAAAAAGTAATTATAATAAAGAATTCAATAATAAAAATGATAACATTAGACGGGGTAGTGAAAGAAAATTATTTATACCTAATCAAGAATAAGATCTCATTCAATAACCAACCAACAGAACAACCTGAAGAGGCGAAAGAGTAAGAACCTTAACGTGTCGGTCGATTCCTACTGCTCAAAAAATAAGAAAAAAAACACCCATATATTTGGCTGTAACAATGTACTTTAATAATGAAACTCAAGAAACTTACCATCAGCCATCAAGATCATACGCACACAAAAACAGATCCAACACATAAATCAAACATAAAATCGAACATTAGTACTGGATTTAAAAGACTTTTGTTCCTGAACAAAAAATGCAGGTTAAGAAAAATAGGACCCTGATTTGGATAATATATCAAGATATCGAAGCTATATTTACCATCAACCATCAAGGATTCATACACGCGCACAAAGAAACAGATCCTACACATACATCATTCATTAAATCAAACATTAGTACCAGATTTTACAAATAAAAAAAAACTTTGTTCCCGAACAAAACCTGCAAGTTAAGAAAAACAGGACCTCAATTTCAAAAATATTTCAAGATATCCAAGCTCTGCTTTACGGAGGGTTTTGACATATACGATAAGGATGCGACCTATGGTTTTAGAGAGAGAGAGAGAGAGAGAGAGAGAGAGAGAGAGAGAGAGATTTGTGGATTATAAGAAGAAACGATTCTAAATCAAAAGCAAAAACCATCAAATTAAAATTGACACAACATATGGAAGGGTAAGAGAAAATTAAACTTGAAATCAACATCAAGATAACCTTGAAGAAACAAATTAAACACACAAAAACTACATAAATCAAAAATAGTGAATGGAAGTTGTGTTCGTCGACAATTGAGAAGACGAATAGTCACAGAGAATGCAAAACGGGAACTGATAATGACAGCAAATCCGTTTGTAGGTTGTTGGTTCAGTTGTGGGAGGGGTAAACGGTGGCGGTGAGTCCTGTTAGGGTTTCTTGACTGAGAAAGGAAGAACGGAGAAATGGGAAATGATTTCAGCGAAGGAGACTAAGAGCTTATGATATAGAAGAAGATAGGTCAGAACTTAGAGCGTATGATATAGAGTGTTTCCATTTGACCGATTCAATTGGCATAACTTGAGGAATATCGGTTCATCTTTGACTATTGACCGGTTCAATTTCAAGATGTGTTCGACCGGATAATATTTGATTTCTTTGTATGCATAAAGTCATTGTACATGATGTAGTATAGCTTATACCTCTCAAATTTTAGCATTTGAGGCTAAATGCTTTTATATATACTAGCCGTCTACCCGCGCCAAGCGCCGGGTGCGATTTTTCTTTATTTTAGACATTAGTTCGTATATAGGATTAGTGTTTTTGCACAAATAGTTTACTATACATAAAAAATTATCAATAAGAGTCATGGTACCAGAAACGAAATCAGAAATAATTAAAAATGAAAAGTTGTGATTCTTTAAAAATGAATATGAACACATGATTGGCTAGTCATTATTTATCATGCAACACTTCTTTATATACGACATTTGACGTATAGACTTCACTGTCGTTGAATTGTTCATCGGGTTTCACCAATACTTTTGTAATGACACGTGATATCCCTCTGGATAATGCCACATAAAGTTGGCCATGCGAGAAAACCGATTCTGGAAGATAAATTCCTACATTTGGAATTGTTTGTCCCTGAGCTTTATTTATTGTCATTGCAAAACATAATCGAATTGGAAATTGCTTTCTCTTCAGCTTGAACGGGAACATGTCATCTTCAGACGGACTTAGAGGAATCCTTGGCAAAAATACCCTCTTTCCAGCATGTTGACCAACAGCTATTTCTGCATCAATGACATTGTGCTGAAAACTTTTACATATCAATCGGGTGCCGTTACATAATCCATTTGACGGGTCGAGATTCCGTAACAGTATTATCGGGCATCAAACTTTCAGTCTTAAGTAATGAGGGGGCAAACCACTAACACTGAGCGTGTTCAAGAATTCCACAGGATAGAAGTTATTTATATCGTCCACGGCTTCATCAAAACTATAGTAATTTCTCTCTTCTCCATGGAATCGGCCGATCAAATAATCATTAATCTCATCGACACTATCATTTCTTGTGGATAATATTGCATGCGAAATTATATAATCTGGTTCAGATCTATTAATTTCAAAGGATGGAAAGATTGCATCAATCAAAGCATGCAATGGCTTTTCTTTTTTAGTGAAGGGAATTACCATATCATCAGGGATGCGAATAAAGTTTCCGTGCACCGTTTCTTCAACTCCATCACTGACACGTAATAGAAAGTCTGAGAACCATGGATCGGTTAGTGCTCTCATATTTATAGTTAACCGCAACTTGATAATCGAAGACCAAAGAGGTGACATCCGTATGCTAGAATCCACAGTCTGTGCTCGTGTTCCACGTCTAACGACCGGCAACACTTGTCTGAAATCACCTCCCAAAACCATTATCTTTCCACCAAATGGGAGCATCACCCCAGTGATATCTTTCATTGTACGGTCAACCGCCTCCAATGCATGTCTTTTAGCCATCGACGCTTCGTCCTAAATGATTACTTTTGCAGTCCGAAGTAGTTGTGCAGTACCACTTTGTCTTGAAATCTTACAGACCGAGTTATTTTCAAGATTGAAAGGAATCTTAAAGCGAGAGTGAGCTGTTCTTCCCCCGGGCATGTTATTAGCCGCAACACCAGATGAAGCAGTCGCGAGTGCAATATGACCACACGAACGAATATTAGAAAGTAAAGCTTTGTACAAAAATATTTTTCCTGTTCCACTAGGACCGTCTATGAAGAACACTCCTGGAATATCATTATGGACATGCCGCATGATCTCATCATACGCAAACTTTTGTTCGGGATTGAGAGAATCTCGGGCTTGTAAATGTTCAGGTTCTAAAACAATAGAGCATTCTTCTTGTACCTCACGAAAAACTCCAAATTCTAAATCGACATTTTGATTTATTTTTGGAAGATCAAAATCATCAATACGGTCACCCATAGATTGTAGGAATACCATGATTTCAGTGAGGACCATATTCTGGACTCTCTCAACACTTCCGTATTGTCGCCTATAATCTTCTGAAAGACCATTGTAGTGCTCATGCCATAACTTACGAACATCTCCTGGCTCACAAAAACTCAATATCGTTGCAAACAACCTTCTTAGAGCATTGAGAAATTGAAACAAAGATGCATCTGTAAGACATTGAGACAAATCATCATCGGACTCTATTAAGCCTCTTTCAAGAGCTGCTTTCCGAAATGTTGGGTATTTTATATTGTTGACCGTATAGAGATCTTCAAAACACGTAGGGCCACTAATATGCAATAAAAGTAGGCGAAGGTAGTATCGCTCCCCTTCAGCAGGATTAGCAGAAACCAAACGACCTCGCATTAATCCTAGTTTTCGATGATTCCAAGGACGTGACTTCGGATCCCACGTAAACTTTTTAGGAAAATCTATGTATTTATATTCTCTTGCACGAATATCTTCTTTATTTTTTAGAAAAAACGCAGTCAACATTGATCTATTATCTCTCTCCTTTTCAACAACGCTAGTCAGTGTATCATCCTCACTGAACCTAACCAACTGTTGATTTGGGAGATGCACCTGCAAAGCCATCACACAAGGGTATATCTGAGAAAGGGGGAAGCTAAAAATCCTCCATATTTCCTCAGGAGGTGAGACATATCGTGCATCCTGATACCGTTTTATCTCATTGATAACAACTGGTTCTCCATCCGGATCAATATTGATAACTTGTTTGTCATGACCCTTGTAAATATACTTAAACACATATTTCACAGAGGTTATACTCGAGCAGACCTCAACATTCATATGGCAGTTAAACATCATTAACAACTTTGGGTTATACGGGACAACCCATCTGTTATCCATCTTATTGCCTCGTATGTCCACCTCTATACCATTATCTCCGATGAAACTTGCAGGAAACACGACACGTTGCCCTATCATAGTCGGTCGAACCTCACCGGCATTAACACAATCCACAACACCTTGGTATAAATCTGCTCTTATTTTGGACTGGTTTTTTCTACAAAAATCAAAACGTGAAGTCTCAAGCTTGATGTAGATATCTACTACAAACTGTTGTAGCAATCTCCCTCCCAACAAAATTACATTATAATTTGGCCGAATTTGAAACTTATAGCAGTAGTACTCTCGCATAGATACAATATTCCGCCCTTTTTTTGTATTAGAGTCTACACAATGTTGATGTCGTGAAAAAAAATTAAGAATTAATGTTGTGTACAAAATGTAATGTTTGTTAAGTTAACTAAAATTTTAAAAGTTATGATATGTGTACCTTCTAAATCATCCCCGATGTCTTCGTCGTCATTAATAATATCATTGATGGAAAATCCATGTCTTGGGATTTTTGAATTCCATCCAGACTCACCGTTAGGAAAAAATAAAGGATAACACAATGGATCATAACATCCCCAATAAGATTGAATTGTTTGCGGTTTCTCGGATTTTCCATAAACGATAATACTTCGTTTATATGCGGCTATGTTGTCGTTACCTTCAACCCAAATACCAGCGACCTGAGGTTTTTATGATACAAACGACATGATTAAATATGGTGTGTAATATGCACTGTTGTATTTCATACATGGTATATTTATTTTATAATTAGTAGAAAATAATTATTATGGTACCTCAGATGTGGTTGGTCGGTTGTATACCCTTTGATCAAGTTCTACCGATGCATTTAAAGTGACTCTGTAATTGTCAAGCGGCCCTAGATCAGCAAGTCTTCGAAATGTCTTCACGTATGGGTTTGTAGCAAGAACACGAATCAACTTTCCAGCAATTTCTTTATCAATATTCTTCCTTTGGAGTCTATGTGACATCTCATAATCAGCGTCGTAAAAATACAACTGTAAGTACCGAGGTATTCCATCTCTTGGAATTAACTGATCGATTCTATGATATATTCCTCCATTCACACAAAAGGTGTATACTCCAGATGTCATATTTGTCAATGTTTTGTCATAATCAACGCCCATTGATGCGAAAGAAAAGTTGATGTTGTAGCTTCATTTGTCTAAATGTCCTACCTAAGTCGTTTCTGGATGTGAAGAGGTTGAGTAATTCTTCAGGAATAGAGGAATGTGATAACTTTGTCTTACCATCCATGCAACAAAAGGTAGGGAATTCAAACTGAAATCGTTTTGCTCCACAATGAACACATGGTTGCTGTACCTTCAAAACACGATGTTCTTTAGGGATACCATTATAAACAAAGCTATATGGATCCTGATGACTAATTTCAATAGGTGTTGTCGGTGAGTTTCGTTCCTTGTGTCGTTGATATGCATTTCTGTTCTTAATCGATTTCCTTTGAGCAAAATCCAATACACTTGTAGGAGTTACATTAGTAATATCAGCCAGGGTCCTCTGTGCTGTAGACACATTTGTCATAGGTGTCATGTTTTGACTACTTACTTCTCCATTAGCTGTTTGTCTCATTTTCTTCTTCTCCTTTAGTCGTTCATAATATGTCTTATTATATAATTTTCTTTTTTCTGCAATAATTTTTTTGGATGAATTATGCATAAAGATAACGTATTAATCATGTTGCACATATGAAACATACCCTTTTGTGCATTTACATCAAGTTGGATAGCCTCATTAGGCCTATTTTCCTTATCTACAATCATCATATCAACTGTAAAAACATGAAATTAATAATATAGAATTTTATTTTTTATAACACATTGTAATAAAAAATAATTTTTATATACAATACTTATAACCGTATTAATTGAACACTGATTGAGTTGAACTAATTATTTATATGTGAGATTGATACTTACATTAAATTATACTGCTTTTTTTTAATACTTGAAGTAATGTTTTAACAATTTGTGTTTTTTGTTAATATATATTTATTTCAAGTTTCATTAGTTTTTTTCGGTAAATATTTCTTTCATGTTTTAATAGTTTTTTTCAATAATTGAAAGAATGCATATTGATTGATTTATATTTAAATGATATTTGTAATTTTTATTTGGTAGATTATTTGTTTTACTTATTATACAACTGTATAAATATCTCATAAACAGAAAGAAGAAAACTAAATAACATAAACAAAATAGTCAGACAAAGAAACTAAAATTTATAAACTTAAAAGTTTTAAATCATTATAAAATACTAAAAATCCATGTCACAAATTCAGCAAAAAATAAATATAAAAAGTACGCAAGCAAACAACCTTCTAAAAATCCGCAAACACATAACTACCACATAATCCGCAAACAAATAACTACTACATAATCCGCTAACAAATAACTATAGAAAAATTAATTATTCTCTCTATCTCTAATCCTAATTCGCTCAGCTTCCGGTGTCCTTGGATCCAACGTGACATCAGTTAATATAGTAGAAACCAAAATATTGTCTGTATGGACATGTAATATATAGTTAGTAAGGTATATTAAAATAAATAATATGTAAAGAATGAAACTATATATAATGTTGCCCACGGTTAACTTACACAAATTTAAGTGGACCAACTTGACCCTAGAGACATAAATTATGGATTGATTGAATATTGCAAGATACAATGGTATCATAAGGCTCATCGGTACGTGATTGAACATCAACTTGATAATATGTCCCCTATTCATTTAAACAAAATGTTGTTAAAACACATAATAACAATGAAAATTGGTTAATATATTTAAATATACTTACATCTCATTTTGGAGAAATAGTTCAAATGCATAGAATGGCGTGATTCGTCTTCCCCAAACGATTTTTCCAATAACATCTAAACCATATTAAAATTACTATAAATTTAATTTGTTGTATGCAATTGATAAAAACAAAATATATATAATTAAATATATAAATGTACCGATCATCATTCTTCGACGGCTAAAATCTCTTGCGAGGCTTGTGATAGAAGAACATAATGGATAATGTGGAAATGAATTGGCGACATCATTTCCCAATCGAGTAAATATTGTGTTAATTTTTATTAGTATTGCCCAATCACCAAAAAAATTCTGTAACTTTGATACGTGTGGTGATCTTCGTAAAACTGCTCAACTTGGAAATGATTTAAGGACAATACACGTCCAACCAAATTCATGTTCAAAACTGTTTGCCTCAAACATTGTGGGACGATGGCGATCATTTTGTCTCTCTGGATATGTAATATATTAACAATTATGTAAATAATAAAATGAACATTAGCCTAAAAAATCTCATATTTATTTTATTGTATTCATACTTACGTTACGATCAATCAACCAAATCAGGACTCGGTTATTTTCAACGTTGTCCCACACATATAAAACCCGAACAGCTAATATGTTCCACCATATGTAAACGCTTCGCAATGTCGAAAAATTTTGAACAGTAATATGACCATCCATCACTGAAATATTTTTCAATTAAAGTTATATTTCACATAACAATTTCTTATATTTTGTTTAACAAAATAAATTATCAACTTATTGAAAATAATAAAAATTTAAATGTTTACATTTTTTATCATATATATATTTTTTATCATATGGAAGACAATAAAATAAATAGTAAAAAAAGGCTTCTTGAAAATACAAATGAGTTATGGAAAAGTTGGATCGTTATTTAAAAACCAAATAAAATCAATTCGGTATATATTTTAAACATTCTTCAGAATAAATACATTCATACATTTAATCTGGTAAATATATTTTTATTTTTAGGAAAATAAAGTTATGACTTCCTTTTTCTAACGACACTCTCCTTCCTTTTTCTAACCCTAAAGATGCCGACACTCTCCTTCCTTTGTCTAACCCTAAAGAAGCCGACACTCATCTACCACTCTTTCTTTCACAAACACATATACTCTTTCTCATAATTGATAACCTCCTACAAACTGAAGAAGAGATATGTCGTCCTTAGATGATCCGTTTAACATCCAAACGCAACATCCACGCGTACAACCTTCATCAATAGAAACCATCAGCGACCACCACGACCACCGAATCCTTCTGATCTACAACCCCCTATCCCTCATCTGGATCTACACGACGATTGGAGAAACCCAACAGGGTTATGTTGAGGATGTGTCGGTTCTTATTGGTTGCTGCTTCTCTTGTTGCTGAAACGTGTCTGCTTCTTTACAGGTTTTGAATCTTTCTTCTAGTTAAATTTTCATCCTCTATATATATCTCTCTACCATATACCTAACAGAAAACCCCTAACCCAAAGATTCATTGTATAATTTTCAGAAATTTGAAAAGAGAGATCAGCAGGAAGTTCTTGTTTATTCATAATTGCATCCGTATTCGAAAGTGGTTAGGGTTCAGTTGGTTTAATTTCATAGATCGACGAACCCTAGAAATACTAACATTCACGCCTCCGATGCAATAAATTCTTCATAGAACGTATGTATCAAATCCCTAATTTTGAACTTTTTAGTTCTATACCTTAACATTACTTAAATTTATCTATTTGGATTTCAATGTGGGTTTTGAATATCCATTCACAGATTGTACAGTTTAAGGATTTAATGTACGAAGCATTAACATTTGAAGAAAGTTGGGACAGAGATGAAGATATGAAATAAATTATCCACTGATTACTCAATCCTCAGTGCTTTCACACTCGTTGTTTCTCCATCTTCAGTTCCATTACCGGTGATTAACATAAAAAGGTAAAACAAATTGGTTAATCCGTTGACTATTAATTGATTGTAGGTGTGTTTCCTTTTAATTAATATTGTTGTCTAATTTTAGGTTACCCCAAAATGAGATGGTTTATTATTTTGATTGGCTTGTTGAGAAGCTTCATAGATGCCTTCTCCTCCTTTCAGTCATTTCTTTCTTTTTGTTAATCTGTTGACTATTGACTCAATCCTTATGGACTTTTCTTGCCTTTTTTTTGCCTTTCCATATCTATTCTACTTTGGATCATAAAGGTTTTATGCTCTTTGGTTCTGTTGTCCTTTGTAATTTAGAATTTGTTAAAAAGGTAGGACTTATTTTACAAGGTTTTATTGAATATTGTTATACGTTATAGGATTAAAAATTAATCGGGGGAATGGAGTAGACTTCCTGACTCCAAAATTTATTGCAGGTTTTATGTTTTGATATTTAGTTTTTGTTTAATAACATATATTGTTTAAATTTGTTTGCTTCAAGAAGTCCATGTTTTAAGTGAAGTTTCTAAATTTGAGTTTGTGGGAATTATAAATTTTTAAATAAAAAAGTTTGTTATATTGTTCCTTTATAAAATCAGGTATACCCTGTAAATTTGTATGATAAAAGGGCATTATTATGTCATTTTGTCCAGATCATTGAAAACCTTAGGACCGCCAGGGAGTAGACTTCCTGACTCCAAAGGCACAATGAAAACCTCAGGCCCTTTACATGTTTTTGTTCGGGAATTTTTTTGGTGCTACACCTAATATATATTTATAGTTCCGGCCCTGGGCTATGTTTGTGTCATCTCAGTTAACATCAAATAATGTGTATTACATTATCCTTGTTTTGATGATATAGAATGAAAAATAAAGGCCTAAATCACATTCATAAACTAATCAATTTTTGTATTTTTTTTTCAGGAAAATCTTAAGAGAAACCATCAGAAAGTGTTTTTTTAACTCAAAATCGGTTCTTCCTCACACATAGGTCTTATTTACTGCTGATGGCTCCTTAAACGGTTCTGAGATAAGTTATATATGTGTAATTATTTTTATTGAACATGATTTTGGTATATATGTTGACATATTGACATTTTTTTAACAATTTTTGGTGTTCATATGATGTATCAAGACTGCATGGGTTGCCGACAGATCTTGATTGTCCGATATTTCATTTCTTAGATGAAAAAAGCTACATGGAGAGGTAACTAAATTTATGAAGTTGTTTAAATGAAAAAATATTGTTCTTTAGCTTTATGGATTTTATGGTTATTTTGTTTTTATGAATCAATATTGGAATTGGACTATGGATTCTCCTAATATATAAAATATGTT